GAAACCTCGTACCAAAATCGCTCAAGTCGATCGTAAGCCCTTGGCCCTTCGCCAAATGGGGTATCGACATGATCGGGCCCCTGCCAACCAGAAAGGGAGGAGTGAAATTTGTCGTCGTCGTAGTAGACTACTTCAACAAATGGGCAGAGGCAGAACCGCTAGCAACTATCAACGAGCAAAAAATGATTGACTTCCTCTGGAAGTCGATAATATGCCGCTTTGGTGTGCCCAACTCGATTATCACCGATAATGGGAGACAATTCGAAGGAAAGAGGATGGAAGACTTTTGCACAGCGCACAACTTCTCAACTCCATATCATCCTCAGTCCAACGGTCAGGTCGAGACAGTGAATAAGCTAATAAAGAATGGCCTCAAACTACGACTTGAGGCCGCTAAGGGGGTCTGGCCCGAGGAGCTTTCTGGCGTGCTATGGGCATATCAAACAACTCCGAGATCATCAACAGGGGAGACACCTTTCTCCTTAGCCTACGGATCAGAAGCCATGGTTCCCGTCGAACTCGGTTCACCCACTTACCGAGTACAGAACATTGAAGATGACCAGAATGAGAACAACCTGCGAATGAACCTCGACCTGGTTGATGAGTTGCAGATTCAAAACGAGCTAGAAAATGCCGCTTATAAACAGTGAAGCGAGCGGTACGTCAATGCCAAACTCAAGCCCAGAACGTACCGAGTTGGCGACTTGGTGTTGAAAAGAGTAACTGGGGCCGACCCTGGTCTCCTAAAACCAAGTGGGAAGGCTGTTCAAGATCAGTCAGGTCCTACCCCATGGGGCCTATCGACTCAAGCACTTAGATGGAACTCCACACCGGTACCCGTGGAACGCTGTATACCTCAAGAAATATTGTCAATAGAAAGCACTTGAACTTCTCATCGACACTCAGTAAAAAATTGGCCTTTGTGCCACTCGTCGGTCCTCAGGCCGAAGATCAAAAGCTGGCCTTTGTGCCACTCGTCGGTCCTCGGGCCGACGATCAAAAACTGGCCTTTGTGCCACTCGTTTATCCTCGGGCTAATGGTAAAAAACTGGCCTTAGTGCCACTCGTCAGTCCTAGGGCCGACGATAAAAAACTGGCCTTTGTGCCACTCGTCGGTAGTTGGGTCGATGATAAAAAAACTGGCCTTTGTGCCACTCGTCGGCCCTCGGGCCGACGATCAAAAAACTGGCCTTTGTGCCATTCGTCGGTCCTCGGGCCGACGATCAATAAACTGGCCTCTGTGCCACTCGTAGGCCCTCGGACAAGTCGGGAAGGGCCGGTGGACAAAAATCGGCCATTAGGCTGTAAGTCAGTTTTGTTAAAGGACTCCTCGGGCAAACAAATAACCTCAAAGTAAGTGAAAGTTCCTTTACATTGCCCTTGACCCTTCTTTACATTGAAAATCTTGAAGTAATAAACGTTGTGAAAAATTTTCTTGAGACTAAAATGAAATTTACGAAATAATGTGATCTTAGAACATTCTTACTTTTGCAAAATTAACTGAAGGCACTCCTCCTTCGAACATTGTGTTAAATGTAGCAAAAGTTGTTTTTATTGTTGCTCAAAAGAAAACCCGACAAGGGTTAAATGGCCGAAACCATTTAGGAAGTTCGACCACCTGCTTAGGGCCAAAAAACACGACTTTAAAACACTTTGCGCAAAAATAAAAGGCCAAGAGTAAATATTTAAAACCAAACTTCATTAACACGAAGCCTGGGAAAAAGTTCTTACAGTACGACGAAACATGAAAAATCTGGAAAGACGTGCCGACCTAACGGTCCACGCTCGAAAAATCACAAAATGTAAGTCAAAGCAAGCGTGCCAACATGATGGTCCACACGAAACAAAAGTAATAGCAAACACACAAAACAACAAAAAAGAATTAAGCAAAGCTACTCGACAGTCTTCCCAGCAACTTCCTCGGTGTTTTTGGGGTCACCTCCGACCTCTTCGGCGTCTCCTCCCACCTGCTCGGGGCCATC